GAAAAGGAGGACATTATGACTGAGACTGTGTGGCCAATTGTGGAGAAAAGGTATCTAGAAGCTTTCAGTATTTTTCTGTTTGCTGAAACCCTACTCACGTGTTTATTTTCAAGTTACCTTTTTTTCTGGTCCGTTATTATTTTATCTTTGATAGAAAGTGCTACAAGTTAACTGTTGTATTTTGCGGGGGATACTCAGCAGAGCTGTGGCTTACTTTGGGGAGGTATGGAATAAGGAACAATGGATACAACATCCTCCTTATTTGGAGAAAAAAGTGTGAACATTCTTGTGAAATGGGTGACATTGTCAAGTCAGGAGGGAAGACAGAATGGCTTTGTGGCTGGAGAGAAATTCAAGTATGAAGGGGAGCAAATACAGTAGCTGTAGAACCCAAGAGTTTGCCAATGCATTGCCTCACCATTTAAAGTGTATCCCTATTCCACAAAAAAACCTTTCCCTCTGCCCTCTGGTTGAATGTTAAGCATTTTCAGTAGAGGGCACCAGTGAGACACTGCAGAGGTGTTAGCTCAGCTGACCCCTGACCTCCCTGTGGCTCCTCTGCTCCTGTAGCACTGGCAGCTCCCAGAGCCTGCAGGGCACTCACTGACCACAGCCAGTGGCGAAAACTCCCTCTTTTTGGTAACTAAAACAATGGGCCGTGGTGGCACATGCCTTTAATCCTAGGGAGGCAGAGGCAGGAGGATCTTTGAGAATTGGAGGCTAGCCTGGTTTACACAGTAAGTTCTAGGACAGCCAGAGCTACACAGAGAAATCCTGTCTTGAAAAACAAAAAACAAAAACAAACAAACAAACAAAAACACTATTTAGTTCACATTTCTTGAGTGAACTATGGGCAGATTTCTAGAAAGCTCTGCCAGAATAGTACTGCCATCACTTTCCCTTTTCCACTCCATGAGCTGGGGCTGTGCCTCTCCTTCAAGGTCTAGAACACACAGCTCTGTGATTTCTTTTCTGGACTTTTTTCTCAGTCTGAGGGGTAGTGGCTGTTACCAGGCATTTCTATGGTCTTTATAGTTCCCCTTGCCTATACTCAATCCCCCATCATCCCAATCACCTGTTATAGTCATTAATTCTTTTTACATTTTTATTAAACTTTCTCCTTTCAGTTCACTCTATGTCCCAGGAGCAAAAAGCACTCCTAGCACCCAGATCGTGTCTTCTAAATATCATTCTCCACTAGAGTAAACCAGGTCACCTTTAAGAAATTCTCCATTCAAGGGCTAAGAAAGGAAGAACAAAAGATAGGTCTGGAGTATTTTATAGTACCAGAAAGTAAGGAAATGCTCAAATATCAAAAGGATGGGCTATATCTAAAAGATAGATTTGGCTACAGTATTAGTAGGAAAAGAAATAATTAGGTAAGATCTCCTACATGGATCTTAGTGTTGCCCTTACCCATCAGGGGAGGCTAGGATTAGGGACCTGCTTCCAAGGTAATACAGAGGAAGAAAAGATGACCACGTGGAGAAACAAAAACAACAAAAAAAGTGATAGCATCTTGAATGACATCCTGTGACTTCCTGATGATGTAAGAATAGTGTACTGACTCTGAAGTCTAAGTCTGACAAAACATTAACAACATAGATTAGAGACCACCTACTCTATGGGATTCTGTTGCCCTCCTCTACACAAACAAGGAAAGACCAAGACATCTGCAGACAGAAGAACATGGGGAGACATGAACAACAAACTGCAGCATGGCACCAAAGAAATCTAAAGCAGAAAGAGGACAAAATCTATCACTCTCACACACCTGCTATCTTTGCTGTATCTCTGACACATAGAAAGACAAGGAGACTGACAGGGAGACCCCTGGGACTTGCTTAATACCACCATGTTAATGTCAGGACTGTTTCTCAGTCCTGCTGAACTCATCGGGTATTTAAGAGGTTCGGGAGAGAGGATTCTGTGAGTGCACACATGAGAAATCTTTGAAGCATCTTTGCAACTTTCCTTTATATCACTAAAAATAATTGTGATGGTTTCTGCCTTCTGGTCGGACCTTAACTGCTACAAAATGTCAGCCTAATCATTCAGGAGATCACGGTATGGATCCAACACAGCACAGCATGTAAATACAGCAATGGCCAGAGTGAAGGGAAAATGGGAAACTTTGGAAATTTGTTTAACTCTGGGAGACTAGTGCACACATTCTGTTTCCAGAATTATCTGTCCAAGACTAAACAAAAAAAGATTCCTGAGATGAAACCCAGGTAGCATATTTGGCCTCGTGTGCAGCTCAGGTTATTTTAAATATTTATTTTTAATTTTGAGCACATGCATTCATGCATGTCTGGGTTTGTGCACTTGGGTGCAGGTATCCATAGAAGCCACAAGAGGGCATCAGATCCCCTGGAGCTGTCTTTACAGGTAGTTGTGAGATGGGTTCTGAGAACCAAATTCCCGCCCTCTGTCATGGCAAGTTTAAAAAAATATCAGGAATGTTATTCTTGGAGCATTGTTTTTTTGTTTGTTTGCTTGTTTGTTTGTTTGTTTGTTGGCTTTTTTTGCATTCTGTCTTTTATTTGCTAGTCTCAGCTATTTAGCCTCACTTTAAAATTAAACTATCCTTTTTAAAATTTTTATCTTTATATTAATTACAGTTTATTCACTTTCTATCTCAGCTGTAGTCCCCTCCCTCATTCCCTCCCAATCCCAGCCTCCCTCCCTCATCTCCTCCCATGCCCCTCTCCAAGACCACTGATAGGGGAGGTCCTTCTCCCCCTTTAACCAAACTTTGTGCAGAGTGCAGGAAATCTAATGAAATAAGGGGGAGGGGGGAGAGTAAGACCTGGAAGGGACAAGAACTCTATGTGGAGAGCAACAGAACCAAAAAAATCTGGGCACAGGGATCTTTTCTGAGACTGATACTCCAACCAAGGACCATGCATGGAGATAACCTAGAATCCCTGCACGGATGTAGCTCATGGCAGCTCAGTATACAAGTGGGTATCCTAGAAAGGGGAACAAGGACTGTCTCTGACATGAACTCACTGGCTGGTTCTTTGATCATTTCCCCCTAAGGAGGGAGCAGCCTTGCCAGGCCACAGGGGAGGACAATGCAGCCATTCTTGGAACATTTTTAAAGGCTTCAGATACCTGCTCATGTTTACTTACAGTTTTATTTTTTACAAAGTCCAAACATGTCCTATAGAGAATAAGCTTAAAAAAAAATGCTTAACTATCGTATTCTATTGTTGTTAGAACGTCTGATGTCAGAATTTTGGAATCTTCATTGAAGAATTTTGGATTTTTCTTTGAAGTCAGAAAACTCTAGCATAGATAGTAATGGTTTACTTTCTCAAAAGCCCAGATCAGCTCTAAAGAGTCTAATATCCTTATAGGTTCTTGCTTTGTACACAAATGCCCTTCAGTGTGAGCCCTTAGCTTCAGGTACTTTGCAATTTTTAGGACACAAAGTATGAATACAGCTGAAATCATTCCACAGCCTCTGCCCTGAAATGAGTAAGAAACCTATTTTTCAAATAAAGAATATATTCATTCTTTACAATAATATTTTTTCTTCAAAATGTGTAGGTTCAACTGGCTTTAAAGTTGGAAAAGTTAATGAAAGCAGTGTCATATTTGGGGTCAGTGAGCCAGGAAAATGGACACAAGACACAGACAAATTCTTCCTCAATAACACGTGAACAGAATGCTCACCCCCACTCCCTGCTCTCCAAGAAAAGGGAAACAAAACTCTGAGACAGTTACCCACTGGAATAGAGGCACCTATCAGGAGCAGACTCACAAACATTCACATATGCCCTCGCTCTCTCATACTCACACACTCACACACATTTACATAAAGCCTCACACTCCCCCCACACACAAACACACACACATCCCACACACCCAATCAAATTTACAACAAAGAGGCTCTTCACACTGAGTGTTCTGTGCACAGATAGCACAAAGGCTTCCCTTAGAGATGTGGTTCAGGGTCAGGCAGGACAGCCTAAGCCTAAAAGCGTTCTTAGCAAAATAAAAAAGAATCTCCCCAACTCCAAAGAAAGTCTCAGAAGCCAGCTTATCTGGGGAAATTAGAATTCCTTCAGATGAGTTTCAAAAATGTAGTTGGTAGCAATGAAGTTCCTTTGGACTGTCAGAGGAACTGGCTCGATTTTGGAAAACAATTATTCCTCTTGTATGAGTTTAAAGACTTATTTATTACAATATAGTATTGGATTTCCATTTCCTCTCATATTTTTAAGGTCATAAAGAAATTGTGCACAATTATGCATGCTGCAACAAGTTATCAGAACACTGAAATTTCAGCCACAAAATTTACGAACGGAACTGTATTCTATGACACTCCATCATCCCAGCTTCATGATCCTGGAGATGGGGTCCTTGAGTGCAGCACTCTTAAAACCTAGAAATCATCATTTTAATTGTATCTCTGACATAATGAAGACAGTCATACAGTGTGTTGTGGTTCTATTAAACAAGCATCAAAATGTCCACAGAGTTTTGCTTACAGCAGATCCATCTTTTCCAAAGTCATCTAGAATGTGCTCATTGCTTTTTCATCTCAGAATTCAGAAGCAAATGGATATGTTCACACCATACCATTTGATTTCTGAATTAAATTCAACATGTGGCACATTTTAGTCACCAAGAAAGTAGCTTGCCTAAATCAACTTAAAAACAGAAGTTAGACCACCAGAGCTATGCTGCCACAATGGCCTTCCTTCAGCGAGGACACTAAACTCAGGCTCCTACTTTGATCCTGACAGAGGTGTAAGCTGCAGATTTCCCAGCTCTCCTTCTGGAGAACTTCTAGTTCTGCTCTCTTAAAAGCAGTGCTCTCTGTGATACACACATAAATTTCAGAGAAACTGTATGCATGAGTTAGATTCGCAATCCATACCACCCTCTGCTTGGGATGAAAACGGGAACTTTGGCTCAGAGTAATCCACAGACAAGGGGCCCATACAACAACACTCAGAGACAGACAAGAGCAGGTGGGAACTTACCACTGGAGCAGTTGGTCCCACCCCAGCCAGGCTCACACTGACAGGTGTTTGGAGCAATGCAGCGGCCATGGACACATTTATCAGCACAGTGAGCTGTCAGAGAGAAAAATCAATCAAACCAAGAAGGTTGGCAGAAAAAAAAAAAAAAAAAACCAACAACAACAACACAGCTGTTGCACATCCTAGTATCACATATCACTTAAAAACATGCATGTTTCACAATGTTCTTCAATCCTTTCCTTTGCCCCTTTAGAGTCTACTGTATAACCAAACAATTCCCCCCTTTTATTTTGATATTTCCAAGTAAATTCCTCCATTCCTACTGTTAAATTCCACTTCATACTAGATTAGGGAAGGAGTGTCAAGGAAAATTGGCTAATCCACACTTTAAAAATGGTTTCAGCAGGTCCCAAATATATCCTCTTCCTGCTGGCAAGAGCATATGCGGAGAAACAAATCACAAAGCAAGATATGAGGACTCCACAGTGACAGCACAGACCAAGAGGTCATTTCCTGGATATGATCTATTCACCAGAAACAATGGTACCTTTCTTTGTGAATTATGCTGTGCACATCATGACACAGCAGTCACAAACACATTGTGCAGGACCTCAGTCCCTCACACACGTTACAGGTTCTTTGAAATACCTAGATATATAAGTAATTTTGAGAGCTAATTGAAAGAGCTCAGAGTTGCAACATTTTACTCGAGGATGAAGTAAAGTACCCTGAGCTCAGCTGCATTTTTTGACCTGTGCTTGTTATAAAAGCTAAATACATTTTCTGACCAGCCTCATCAAATATCAGTACATAAGTAAACCGCATCTCCAGTCGCACACACCAGTAGCATTTTTGTGGTTGTTTTCAGTATTTATCTTTTTGTGCTACATATTTTTTTTTTCATAAAAAAATAGAACCATTTTAAAATTGCTTTACCACCCAATACAATGAGTAATGGGTCATTAAATATTCCTTTTTGTACTTTGTTCACAATTATTGGTATTACATGTATATATGTGTATATTTAAATAATGTGAGTAATTACGAATCTGCGATAGAGGACCATCATGAATATATAAGACTCATATTGATGGTCCCTTGCAAAGTCTTGACCTTAGATTTGAAGAGATGCACGGAAAGTTATTTAGGACAAAGAGAAAGCAAATGCCAGTGATCAAAACAAAAAAGAAAGGGAATTAGAGATTTTGTTTGGTGTAGGATGGGGAACCACAGAACAATGAGAGACCTTGAGCCAAGCTGAACTGTCAGCATCTCACTCTTAGAATCAGTTAGAAGCAATCCAAGGGAAGACAAGAACCTGTAGACAGGGGACCACAAAAAAACTTACTGCTGCCAGAATAAGTGAGTAGCTGGGATGCCAGGCCTGCTGGGCATGAAATTCTGAGATTCAGTACAGTTTCCTGGCATCACAATTCCACAGAAGCACTTGGGAATCTTGTAATATTTGATTCAGAATAGTTACACATTTAATTGTAATTAAAAGCAGAAACTGCCCATAGCTTATGAATATACCAGCCCCTCAATACATCACTTATGCTGTCGAGTTGTCAAAAGGTACAGACCACAGTATCCAGTCTCCTTCTATCTCTATGTGCATGTGTGGCCCCGCAAGCGGCATTCCTGTGTAAGGCCACACAGCTCTCTCCTGTTATCTGCTTACATTTAGATATGGACACATTTGAAGCCAACAACTTGCCACACTCGAATACACAAGATTCAGTTAAATGTAAATGCAAGCTCTACACTACACACTGTGTCACAGAGTAGCGTGACCAGGGGACTCTCTTCTTCTGAGAGGGCTGGCACCCATCATAGGCATGCCACTACCAGAAGGCTTTGTCTTACATGCTCCATGGACTGACGGCATTTAGGTTTAAAGCACATGTTTCCTCCTTCAAGGTATTAAAGCTATTTAAAATTATGTTTTTGTATCTTAAAACATTTTACAAATTAGACACTATTTACCTTTAAAGAGAAAGAGGGCTTTTAGTTACAGAGGAAAAAGAAAAGGAGCTTGTGGTGGCAATTTTAAAATCTGGATTATTTTAAGAAATTTCTCGAGCTAGCATCTTACCAAAGTCTGAAACAAAATGTGGATGGGTTATTGACAAAGTTGTTAATGACAAATTCATCTGAAAACTAATTAGGAGTATGTGTGTGGGTGGGGGATCTTAATTAAAATTCAGTCTAATGGAGTCACCTTTGAGTATTGCCTCGTGAAAGGAAGATCCAAGTGATGGGAACAGCGGAAGACTGTGTAGAAGCCTCACACAGCACTCCGCTGTCATCCCAAGTCTGTCTCTGCTCTGTGCTCTTTCCCACCATCTCTAACCTGATCCAGCAATAGCCTCACACAAGTGGCCACAGATGGTCAGGGGCAAAGGGAAACAGTGGAGCTGCTGCAAAAAACCCTGTGACCTAGGAGGCCGCAGCCTACAGAGACACTGAGTGTGGCAGCTTGCTACACCGTGAGAGCAACTCGCTCTGGTGACCGGCTGAGCTAGATCCTAACTTGTCCAGTTTTCCCAGGCATGTCATCCACTCAGGGGCTGAACACGCAGGAATAACCCAACATGGGAAACCAAGTAGGTTAAAGATGTGAATTAGCCATGTGTATGCTGCCAAAGGGTACCAGCTGAGAAGAAAGGATGGGCATTCAGCTCAGCAAGTGTTCAACAACTTGGGTCCCAACCATAGGCAGAATAATCATAAGCTATCACCCGCAGGAAAAGAAAGACTTTTTATTACTTATCCATGTCCTTTCTTCTTATCTTTAAAGGGCCAGTTAAAAACTAAGATAACATGGAGCTAGTGAAATGGCTCAGACAGTAATGTGTAAACGTGAGGACTTGAGTTCAGTCTACAGAATTCAAGTTAGAAAATGATGAAGATGACAGCTAAGATGAAGAAGAAGAAAGAAGGAGGAAGAGGAAGACAGAAGAAGGAAGAAGAGGAACAAGAAAAAGGAGAGGGAGGAGAAAGAGGAAGAAGAAAAGGAGAAGGAAGAAAAGGAAAAGAAGAGAAGAGAAGAGAAGAAGAAGAAGAAGAAGAAGAAGAAGAAGAAGAAGAAGAAGAAGAGGAAGAGGAAGAACCGGAACCGGAACCGGAACCAGGTGTGGTGACACCCATTTGTAACCCAGGAACCTGCTAGTCAGCTAGTTTAGCTGACTTAATGAGCTTCAGGCCAACAAAAACCCTGATGGCTCCTGAGGAATGACCCTTAAAGTTATTCTGTAGCCTCTGTGTTCACATGTATACACACACACACACACACACACACACACACACACACAGAGAGAGACCCTAGCAGAAAATCTCTATCCTATATGATTTTTCTTTCATCCCTTTAAAGGGAAATCATTAAATATGCCTTCTATGTCTTCAGTGGTTCTCTGAGGCCAGATAGAGGCTGAACCTTTAACCACAGTCTGTACCCAGCTGGGGGCTCATTAGGCTGCACAGCCAAGGCATATTTCCCTCATATAGATGAGACAAACAGGCCAAGTCTTTGAAGTAAGAGCTGTGGACAGCCTGTCTGTTGGTGGACAGGTGAAGACTGACATGATGACCCTGGAATCTTCTAATTAGGCTCCTGTTTCAGCCTCAGTTCCTAAATCCATTTAAATCCTATTACTAATGCCATGGGCCTCACTCCTTTCACTCGTAAATGCTGAGGCAGATTAGCTGCAATCAAGCATTTTCTCTTCTGCCACATACATTTCTCTTGGATCGACTCTGAGGGATGGAAGAGAGGTGAAAGGAAAAGAAAGCAGGCCTCCATATCCAAATATGTCTGTACAGGCAAAGCATCCATTGTCCTAAAGACAATAGTACAATTTGGAAATGGTTTGCCATCTCTGTGTTCCTTTCCTTTCCATAAACAAATACCGAGAAATGGCAAACCATTGGGAAGTTATTTTCCAGAGATACTTTGAGCAAAGAAACCTTTCCAAATTGTTAGTCAGACCAATTTTGTTTCCATAATTCCCAAACATTACATGGTAATGGGTCTGACTAACTAGGAATTCTTAGTCTGTAAAGCAAGAGGCAACAAAGATAGGAGCAGGAGACTGTGGAGGGTATTGAATGATTCTAGTCATATGAAATGTCCAAATAGGATGCTCCATACAAATACAAATATATATATACTAATGGATTAGGTAAATGTGGGACAATACAGGTTTTTTGAGATGAAGAAAATATTTAAAATTTGGTCCTATGATGGGACATAACTCTGATAATAGCAAAACTAGACTGAATGTCATAATTTAACTATAAATTATGTAGTATGTGAACTAAATCTAGAAAGGTTATCATAAAAAATACTGTGGAAATTGAGGGAAGATATTAATTAATTCCAGTTGAGGTGAGATCAAGGAAGATCTCTCTGTCATCTGAGCTAACGAAATGGACACTTTTAGAACAATTACATACAAAAGTGGCCTGAAGTAGCTGCCTTTCACTCTGTCCTCCTAGTACCCCATCCCACAGCCAAGTAACTTCCTTCTTTGGTTCAGGAACACTTACTCCATAGCCACCAGAAGACTTAATGCATAGTGGCCCTAGATGGATAACCATCATGGAGAAGGTAAGAGCACACTAGGCGCTTCGAATTCTGGATACAATAAATACAATGGAAAAACATCCATATCCAAATTTCCTTTCCGACCATTCTTACAGGGTCTTCTTCCCTCTTAAGGACAGATACAGAGTTATTGTCAGCAGTGTCTTTGATGAACATTGCTAATTATTCCTCCTTCCTGTTTTATTAACAGAATCTCAGTCATGCCAGAGACATCCGAGTGACCAGCAATCAGCTATTTGTCTTGGTTTTCTTTCTAGAATGATGTGTCTATGTAGACAAAAAAGCAAACAGACTCAGTGGATAGTCTAGCTCCCCTTCTTCCTTATACCTTCAGTGACAAATAGCAGGATTTCCAGAATTCAGGTGACGTGAGGAAAAGAAGCAAGTGGACCATGGAGCTCTTTACTCTGAAGTCTTCCTATAGATACATGAATGTCATCAGCTATAAGCAAGACACGTATAAACCCTAGTTTCCTGGGTTTCTGTT